AGTGGCCCATTGTTCAGAACAGACTTGGATAATTATGTCAGGTAATGAAGGCTGTGCCTCAGTGAACACCTGAGGGAGGCCTAGCGTGTTCTTAACACAAAAGCATAAAGACTACTTTGAAAAGATTATCGACTTAGTTTGTAGAAAAATTTCACAGAAACTCCATGGTCTCCTTTCCCCTTCCCCTTCCCCTTCCCCCCCCTCCTCCTCCCTTCCCTCCTTTCCATGCTCTGTCTACTTACAGATCTCAGATACCCATGGCACCCTTGTTTTAGTTGGGGAACTCATATGCAGACATCAGCATTAACCAAAGGCTATAGCTGACATTAGGGTTCATTGCAGCATACATTTCTGTGCCCCTGGGAGATCTGTGCCGTCCTGGTCACAGCAGAACAGCTCCACAAAGAACCATGTGACCACCAGCCAATCCCTCACATCCGTCTTCCAGATACTCCAGTCTCCGATATGAAATGACCTATCTAGTGTTTGCAAAGAACCCTTGGACGTCTCTAGATTACTTATAATAATAGCTAAACCAATGCAAACACCATGTTGATGTTACCCTACCCTGTCTCCGGCAAGGAAAGGGTCTGTGTACTCCCTCGCAAGACATCGTTCTCCCCCTCCTTATATTTTGGGTGTAAGCCTGGAGATCTTGTGAATAGAGGGGACTTACAGTAGCCAGGTAAAAACATTTGAACACTGGACATTAAGTCAGGGGTGGTAGTATGTGCTCATAATCCCACCCTTGGGTAGCTGAGGCAGGAGCATTGCCAGAAGTTTAAGGTTAGACTGACTGAACTACATAGCAAGATACCTTCTTACCCCCACTCCAGTTCATCTCAAGAAAAAAAAGCCTTCCCCCAAATTTGGACTTGGGTATTTGTCTCAAGAGTCTTCAGGGAAGCAGTCTTCTTTCAAAGCAGGCGGTAGGAATAATGTCCAGAAAGGGTTAATAATGCTTTTGCCACCTTGGCAATCAAGATCACTCAGCACAGAAGGACTTCACCTCCCTGCCTCTGGCCTGGGGACATCCTGGTAGTGAAACTGGCACCACTGGAATCCTCTAGAACAAGGGTATAATCTGGATGGACAGCCTAGCTAACTCGGCCTGTTTCTGCCCAAGTCTCCTGGGGACAGGAGTTGGTCACTAGGCAGAGTACTGAGTGGAAAGAAAATGAGCTGATTTTGTTCTCTGTTTACTGAATAATTATATTTTAGACCCCTCTAGGCTTTATTAACTTTCCCTGGGTTTTGTATTTGTTTTGTTTCTTTTCCTTTGTAGTGTTTCTTTTTTTGCGCTACCCTAATTGTTGCCGTTTCTTCTCTAGGCATTCACCGCCCCAGAGTTACTGGCCTCCGTTTATTATTTGTAGCAATTACTTTCTTTTTACCTTGACTCTTTAAGCTGTTTTTCTGCACAGTATTTGTTCTGAACATTTTTTCCCCCTTTAATGTCCGACTGTGACTTCCATTAGGCAAGGAGGCTTAATTCCACTTGAAGCAAACTGTGGCTTTGCCTTAGACTGAAATAGCTCCGCGACCGTGTAGTCTGTCCTCACTGAATCCCACTTTGGGCTGTTTCGTACACTGTTGTGTGTTTGCCTGCCACTTGGAATTACCGTAAATGCTTGAGTAAAAGTTAGACGTATGTAAAGTCTCAGTTATCCCCAGGAAAATCTCTTATCACAGGGGCACAGTGGAAGCCATGATGTTTTCCTCAACCAAGCTGTAGTGACAGAGGACATAGGAGACTCAAGAGTCAGGGATGACTCCGGGGCTCTAGGAATCTGGTAGAGAGGGAGATAAAGATGGGGAACAGGACATTCACCACAGCTTCAAGAAGAACGGCTTCCAGTTGTGAGGGCTTGAGAGACAACATCGAAAAGGACCCTTTGGGTGGTTGATTTATGGACGTTTTAAGTAGGTGCTTATGGATTAGGGTTTCAAGCCAGCATCAACCTACACAGGTGCTAGCCTGTGGTGTGCTCAGTGGCAAGAGCTTCCCAGAGAGTTCGGGAGTTCCATTGTAAATGTCTTCTTCAGGAAGCTACCATATTGATCCAGGGAACTCCTGATTCTTTCTTGACAAATGGTAGTGAAACTGTTTCATGAAATGTGAGGTGTGTGTGTAATAATTCTAAAGTTAGGGTTGGCTGTGGTAGCATACACTTTTACTCCCAGAACTTGGAAAGCAGAGGCAGACAGATCTCTGAGTTTTAGGCCAGACTGGTCTACACAGGGAGTCCTCAGCCAGCCAGAACTACACAGTGGATTGTGTAAACATTTTAGTGTATCGTCTTTTGTTCTTGTGGTATTGGGATTGCTTGAATCTGAGGCTTCATGCAACTTTAGGGTCTGATGTGATATTGCAACTTCAAAGCTAAATAGTAGCCAGAGTGACGTGGTAGTTCCATCCCGTTCCTGAAAATTCACATATATGTCTTCTAAAGTCCTGACTCAAAGGGGCTGGATCCACCAGTGGGAATGTGGGTGGGGCTGCATTACACTTAGAGTGACTTCCTATTTGGATATGTGTGATGCCGTTTAAAAGCAGTTTCAAGTGGACTGTGCATTGTTCTGCTCAAGCTGAAGATATACTATGTTTCTCCCCAGCTGTATATGCATTCAGAGGATAGTTTATATAGTATATATGCATATATATATATGTATATATGTATGTATATATGTATATATGTATAAATATATACACACATATACATACATACACACACGGGTATGTATATATACATATACATAAACATAGATATTTGTTTTTTCCTCTCTACCTGGATGTTAACACACCCTTAATCCACATATCAGGCCCCAGGGCTCCCCATAGCCTCCTGGTTTTGAGTCCATGGGACATTTTTTTCTCCATTTGACTCCTTGATTTTTCCCATTCTGAAATCCACCCTCAGATGTTCTAAAGAAGCTATCTTCTAGTTCCTTCTGCCCAGTCCTGCTGCAGATGGCTGTCCTCCTTGGGGAGCCTGTGCACACCGATTTGATTTGATTTTTTTTTCTCCAGTTTTTCTGCCTGGTTCCTGGATAGTCTCATATCTTTCTCGAACTTCATCTCTTTCTCATACTGAGTTGAGAATTGGTCGCTGGCAGCCCAGATCTTGACTCAAGCTTGGCTGCACAGTGTTGTTATTGTTGTTTTCCAATCAAGCTTGTTACTAGCGTTGAAAAATTGTGACTGAATGGAGACTTCTGGCTTTTCTTGCAAATGAACAGGCTGGCAGCACTGGTAAGCAACTGTCTCCTCTCGTTGGGACATCACTGCCCTGTTTGATTATGTTCATCTATTTACAGACATCAGGGTAAGATCTCAGCTGCTATTTTTGTTTCATTATTAGATTGTCAAGTTCCCCATATTAAAACTTCTGATTTCTCTATTACAAGGTAGGGAAATTAAATCAGGGTCAGTCCTAGCAGACAATATATAAACGTGTGTGCATATGTACATTTATGGGGAAGCATTGTTAAAAATAAGTTTTAAAATTCTATGTGTATGAGCATTTTGCCTGCACACACTCACCAAGCATTAGGAGGCCAGGAGAAGGTGTCAGAGCTCTTAGAACTGGAGTCAGGGATAGTTGTGAGCCAACACGTGGGTGCTGAGAACTGACCCTGGCTCCTCTGTGGGAGCAGCAAGTGCTCATAACTGCTGAGCCATCTCTCCAGCCCCTAGAGATGCATTCTCAGCATTCAGTATATGCTGGAGTTGATAGTCCATCCTGAGATCCCAGAATTCATGTGTTGACTGAGATGGGTTTGAAATGGCTCCCACACATACCTTCATACAAATGTAGATTCTGCCTCTGAAACCCAGGCAGTTCTCTTTGGTCTCATTTTGTTGCTGTTTTGGTTAGTTTGGTTGTTTGGTTGTGGTGTGTTGTTGTTGTTGTTGTTGTTATTTGTGGCGCTGGGGATCGTTCGGGGCGCTATGCACATTAGGCAGCTGCTGCAGCTCCAGATGATCTTTTTGGTAATCTAGCTTCTCTCTGTGTTAGTTACTGACTCACCTACAGTGTGCAAGGATTCGATGGTGCAACGGAGAGCACGGCAGGCCTGTTCCCTACAGGAGCCTACAGTCAGCTAGCACAGCGCTCAAGTGTCCCGCTTGGATGGATGGCTCTACTTGCTCTTGGTCTCCACTGTCAATGAGTGACATCACCTACTGTCAGAGGAACTCCCCATTCCATCTGCAAACTCAATTCCCTTTCTTCCTGTCAGGTTAACATGCAGGCACGACCCCAGGGATTGGATGCCAACATCTGTGGAATCCATTATCCCACCTGTGATAACATCTGCCTGCTAAATAGATGAAAACATTATCGTCTGCCAACGTGCCGTGACAGTTCCTCTGAAAGAGAGGCCCACAGAGGCTGTGGAAAGGATTAATTAAATCTGCATTCAGTTTTTATTGATTTTATTTTATACTTATTTTATTGGTGTGAGGCAGGGCGGGGTGGACTGTAGCACACATGTGAAGGTCAGAAGACAGCTTACAGGAGTTGGTCCGACCTCTCCTTCCACCATGTGGGTATTGGGGAATTGAACTCAGGTAGTCAGGATTGGCTGCAAGTATCTTTATCTGTTCAGCCCTCTTGCCTTATTTTGTTTAAGCACTTCCTCAGATCCACTGATGACAGGGATTGCTGCTGTTGACACTGTCACAGACCCCGGCCTTTCTATTCTTTGATACTCGGGCAGCACCTGTATGGAATGCTGTATGCCACTTTTCATTTCTTCTGTCATTTATGTTTAACTTTCAGATGTTAAGTCCACTCTTAGAGACTGCTCTCCGTCTTCCCTGTCCTCGCTGTACTCTGTATATCCTGCCCTATGAACGTTTACTCAGTGACTAGGTTTCAGCAGAAGGGTTTGCGGTGGGTTAGAAGGAGCTGTGAGAATGTTCACTCCATGTCAGGAGCGAGATAATGCTCTGCTCTTTTAAATGCTTGTCTGAAATGTGGTTTTGTTTATTTCAGAGACTTGAAGATAGAGAATTTGCTGCTAGATGAAGACAATAATATCAAGCTGATTGGTATGACTTTTTTTTTAAACCAAGATTACCTGTTAAATGTTGTGTTGTCAATTATTAACTTTGAAAGTTGCCCGTGATCTATGTCTAATCCTAAAACGAGACTTGTCTATATTATCCCTGTACTTCTAATGTTTAGTTATAGTTTTGATCATGAAAATTAATTTTTAAAGCAATTTAATAATTTATTTAAATAATAAGTTGAAATAAGATAAAAATAAGATAAAAATAGTGTCATTGGATTGTGGAATGAGTTTTATATTTCTCAGTAAATATTTGTTGGTCACATCTCGTTGGATTTTTAATGACTTCTGTGTGTGTGTGTGTGTGTGTGTGTACGCATGTGTGCATATGTGTGTGGATGTGGGCATGGAAGGCGGAGGTCAGTATTGGGATGTCTTCCTCAGTCATTTTCCCATGGAGGCATTTCCTCAACTGAAGCTTCTTTCTCTGTGATAACTCCAGCTTATGTCAAGTTGACACAAAACCAGCCAGTACAGGCTGTGTGGCCAGGGAGCACCAGGGAGCACCAGGGAGCACCAGGGAACACCAGAGTACCAGGGAGCATCTAGGAGCCCATGCTCCATCATGACCAGCTGTTTACTTGGGTGCTGGGAATCCAAACTTAGGTCTTCACGGCAAACACTAACTGAGCCATCCTCTGAGCTCCTCAAACTGTGACTTCAATTCAAATGGTTCTTACTGACAGACCCTCCTTTCTGTGTCCCTCCCTCCTTCCCCCCTCTTTCCCTCCCTCCCTCCCTAGATATTTTTGTTTTTAAGTATATGCATGTTGCCTGCATGTATATCTATCCATCATATTTGTGCCTAGTGCCCATGGGGGCCTTAAGAGGGCATTGGACCCCTGGAACTGAAGTTACAGATGGTTGTGAGCCACCATATGGGTTCTGAGAATTGAACCCAAGATGGTTGTGAGCCACCATATGGGTTCTGGGAATTGAACCCAAGTCCTCTGCAAGAGCAGTTGGTGCTCTTAACTCCTGACACTCCTTAACTTTGTAGACATTTTTTTTTTTAAATATGAATTAACAAGAAAATGTATCACTACTACTAGAAATAGTTTGGCTCAGAAATGTCACCCGAATCTTACTCCACTTTTCTGTGTATCTCAGAAAGCCTCAAACAAGGAAAAAGTGAGGCCTGCCTTCCCTTTTTTAAAATATAATCTTACCCAAATGTAGTGGTTGATGGGGGTGTGGGGGCTGTGGAGAGAGGGGCCTGGAGAGGGGTGGTTAGAATCCAGATTCACTAAAGGAAGGTGGCAAGGTTATTAGAGGTTGTGATTGGTCCCTAATTCAGGATCCTAAGTAAATTTCCCATGGCTGTTCTGGAAGAACTGGGTTATTTTTGCTGCTGCTGCTGCTGCTGCTGGTGGTGGTGGTGGTGGTGGTGGTGGTGGTGGTGGTGTGTGTGTGTGTGTATGTGTGTGTGTGTGTGTGCTCTTGGCTGTCAATTTCACCGTGCCCCAGCCTCGAAGCAGCCAGCACCACATCTCCATTTTCTTTCTTTTCCGACTTCAAATGCAAGTAATTTCCTCTGCCTAGATGGTTTGACAAGACCTATTGGCATCTTGAATCTAACTCAGTTCCCTGTAAAGGATAGACTGCAGGGACTCCAGCCCATTTTCCCGGGACATTCGGTGTCTTGACAGCTGTTGATGGATTTACCCATTAGTGGAAAATTAACAGTTATGAGGAAACCAATCTTCCCCACCCTAAAAAGGCCCTTCAAGGACCCTATTTTTAGCAGATTCTTAGAGCAGACCAATGATTTTCTTTTTGTTAAATTGCTTCACTATTGCACCATGGCTGTCCTGAGAGACAGACACAGCAGTGAACAGAGGCCCTGCTGAAAGGCCTGCAGGATATCTTTCTAGTCCAGCTCTCTGGAGTCTCTAGCCTTTAACAAAAGTGGCCCCTGGAGGGTAAGGGGTAGAGGGAAGGCCATCCCACCTATTCATGGCTAATGTATGATTTGTCTTTGGAAAACTTAGAGGTGACAGTGTCACTTGCCTTAACAGCAGAGATTCTGAGAGGACAAGCTTGGCAAGGGTGTCACAGTAACAGGCTGAAGAGTTCTTTCCATCTTGTAGACGAGGCCACCGAGGCATGCAAAGCGCTCCTCCGCCTGTGGAGAGTTTCCAGGCCCTGTCAGGCCACTGTCCACTCTTTCTTTCCCTCACTCTCTGCCTTGCCGCCTTTTCTCTCTTTCTGTCAAGTGGTAGCCCTAGATAACCACTTGAAAAACAGTCCTGTTGTACAAGCAAAGCTGCTACAAAAGACAGGCCTCTCTCTGTATTGATGAGGGCCTTCCTCAGAAGAACTCGTCATGGTTACGATAGGCCAGCAATCTCCCAAAGGCTGCATGCACTTCGCTGAGGTCCACTCACTGAAATAGCAGGTGCCAGAGATTGTCTGAAAAAGCTTTCTGAAACATATGAAGCCAGTCTGAAGAGACTGCATACCTGAGCTAGTGCCTGGAATTCTCATTTCAGGAAGTGTGATAGTGGCTTTTTAGACCAGGAACGGTTGGTTCCATTCACCTTCCTTGGGTTCTCACCTCTTGGCTGATAACCATGGAGTCACCAAGTATTTCAAGTCTTCAAGACTGTAAAACAGACAAAGTACAACTAGTTGCTCAGACCAAATTTGCCTATGAGGTTTTCTAGCAGTGGGCAGTGGTCTTGACTATCGTTTGGAAGATCCTGCCCTACCCCCGTTTGTGGCTAAAGTAAAGGAAATGATGTATAGAAAGCATTAACGAGGCACAGAGAACCTGATTGGTTGCAGATAAGAGCGGCCTTCCATGGGCGTGGCTTCAACAGCTGACCGCTGGCGATGAGTAGGGCCTCCGCTCCTTATTGTAAGAGTGGATTACAGTCTGTTCACCTGTCACAGTGCAGAGGAAGGTCTTCAGTCCAAACTTAAAATATACAGAAACATCTTAGGCCAAACTTAATTTGGTTGTACAAGGTGGGTCAAGCCTATTGGAAAAAGCCTATTGGTGTCAGAAGCCAGGACACAAGGCTCTGGTCTTTGGGTTTCTGTCAGTCTCTTCCTTCTCTTACCTGCAATGACCTAAATAATAATACTATAAATGAAAGATACATTGTGTAGCCTAGAAGGTATGTAGGTGTTATATTCGCCTGCTTCCCTGGAGTTGAGGGGAAGAAGCCAGTGTCTTACCAGGTTTTCTTGCCTCTGGGATGGGCAGAGAGGATCAAAGGTCTTTACTAAGCCTTATTATTATTATGTTAACTTGAAAGCCCTTTGAACCTCTTTTCTTCAAACGATTTACTTAGGTGCTTTTCAAAGAGGATTATGGCCATTACCATTTCTTAATAGTTTCCCTGTTTCTGAAACCATTTGGTTTAAATAAACTTACGCCATGTTTCAAATTAGCTAGAGTTATCAGGAGTAAGATTTTTGATTTGGTCATATATTTTTCTTCTTGCAAAAAGAAGAGAGGAAGAAGGGGAAAGAGCGAAGGCGGCCTGATGTCTGGGGATGCTCTCTCACCCATGGGGACAGCTAGAGCTTAGAAGAGCAGTGAAGTCACTGGGGTCTTCTTTTGAGATTGCGTTTTGCAGCTCTCAGAAAATCGAGTGATAATTAGCTTATGTATTTACCAAATCTAATTGAGGCCAACCTATCTGATGTTACCGGGAGGCAGATTTCTCTCCAGCCCCGCGCCCCCATTCTAATTATAGGCATATGTGTAAAACTTTAATAACCATAATTACGAATGTGAAACATTCTGCCGTTTATTTCCCTATGATGTCTTTTAAAAATCGAGTGTTCTTGGCTGAGATGGTGAGAACTTTTTAAATGCAGGTTCTGAGCCCTTCTGCTTTCCAAATCCTTCACGATTTTATCTTCTTGAAAATGCGCTCTTAAGATAAGGTCAGGCTCTGTTCCCTAACTTGCCTGGGACAGTACAGGGTGATCTGGCCTCTTATCTTGACCTTCTTGATAGACCAGATGGGGAGGGGAAGGGGGTCTGAAAGAGGTGTCCCTTTGCTGTAACAGAGCCCCTGTTGACCTGAGGAATGGGATCTTTGCCTTTAATCTTGGAAACTTAGAGACACGTTTTTCTGGACTGCTGTCAGATTGGACTTCTAATAGGCAACTTTCCTTAAAACTTTGACTCCAGGTAATGCTGGAGTCTACTCTGCTGTCTCCAATCCTTCATGGTAGGTGTCCTTAGAGAGCCCTGTTAGTCCTATGGCTTCTTCCTTCCTCTCCTGCTCTCGAGCCTCAGTATACACTGGGATCTGGGAACAGGGCCCCTTACCTTTGCCTGTTCAGATGGGAGGCCACCTGTCATCTGAAGCTAAAGCCTTTTCTGTCCAGATCTTGTGGTTCCTTGTGGGGCAAACTGTGGGCTGGGTAGAGGGTAAAGGTAAGGAGTCAGGAGGAGGGACCAGAGTTGGGGTGTGTGTGTGTGAATACAATCAAAACAAAAGAAGAGAAAGTTCAGTGTTGGAACACAGGCTTCCTGTTGGCTGTTAGGTCAGATCCCTAGGGTTCTTCCTCTGGAGCCTGAGTTGAGGGCTTGGTGCTCTTCGGAGCCTGGGAGAGTCCCAGGGTTCTCTTTAGACGAGCCATCCAGTTATCCAGTTCACTGCAACAACTGTTAAGGAACTCTCTAGTCTCATCCTTGTGACCTGTGGGGTGCGGGTGGCTTCTCACCCTCCCAATTTTCTCCTGTGCCTTTTGTCATTTCCTGAGCTTTCTCCATGGCTTCTGTGGTGGGCATGCACTTGCGGGTGGAGACATGCTAGAGCCAAGCAAGGGACAGAACTACTGTCAGTAATGCCGTCGCAGAGAGCACAGGGCTCCGTCCCAGCCCCAGAACCCCAGAGTCTCTGGCTTGCCCTGAAGCTTGGGAGGCTTATATTGGTACATTAAGAGCTCAGTATTTGCAGTGGAGTTCAAAGGATGACCCAGGATCTCAGCTCTTAATTCTGAGATCAACAAAGATTGAAGAAAGATAGGAGAGGAGGGACGGACACTAACAGCTCTCTAATTACCCTCCGGTTGCAGTATCTTTAAAGATCAAAAGTAACGAGTTCACAAAACTCGTAATAGACCCAAAGGAGCTGTGAGGCACTTTGGGGCTTTCTTGCTGGCCTCCCAGATACCTTCCTAATCTAAGAAAAGCAATGCCATGAGGTCACATAGTCTGGTTGGCATGACAGTCCTGCTGGACGTTTTCTCCAGCCAACATGTGGGGCTGTTTAAACTGTGTTTCCTCCCCTCCGGCCCCTTCAAACTATGGAACACCTCTGGAAGGAATTTCTTAAAGACTTTAATGAAATAAAACCGAGCTAAAGAAGTCAGCTGTAAGTGGTCAGTGATGCGGTGGGCAGCAGGAGAAAATCAGTCTCCATTCAATTTCCCCCAGCCTGGTCACCAGGCAGCCAGGATCTCAGCATGCTCTCCCTTCCCGCTTCAGTCCTAGAAAGCTAACACTCTCTCCTTACCTACCCTGCATGACTCATTTACAAGACTCAGTAGAAATATGTTTTGGCTCATCACACTGTTAAGTCTAGCTGGATTGTGCAGTGAGCGCTGATGTAAAACATTCCTCCGAATGGAGGGAGCCGCCACCCGGCACGCCTTTGTCTTGAGAAGTCTATCAGAGGTTATGGTTTGCAGCTGGCGGGGTTTCCTGTTGGATGTTAAATTATGTGTTAGTCTGAGACAATGTTTCCTTTCCTGCTCTCTGTTTTTTTTTTTTTCTTCTCTCCCCGTTTTTTTTTTTTTTTTTTTTTGCAGTTTTCTAATTCAGAGTTCATGTTTGTGTTCTCTCTGCAGACTTTGGTTTGAGCAACTGTGCGGGGATCCTGGGTTACTCGGACCCATTCAGCACACAGTGTGGCAGCCCTGCCTATGCTGCTCCAGAGCTGCTTGCCAGGAAGAAATACGGCCCCAAAATTGATGTCTGGTCAATGTGAGTTATCCAGTTTGTAAAAGTGGGTCAGTGTTCCCTTCTGAGGTCCCATGTCCCCTCCCCCCTGCTCCCTTTTTTTTTTTTTTTTTTGTGAAACAGTCTCTCACCATCTGACAAGAATGTACCTATGTGCCATGGAATCCATCACCTGTAGTTCTCAGAGCCCAGCTTCCCTTTTTTCTTTCCAGACTTTTCTTTATAAACTTTCAAAATGGCATTTGCAAACATTTCATTGAGGAGCTGGGAAAAGCAGAAAACCCAGCCAAGTCTTCAGAGACCTCGCACTGGTGTTCCACGAGCCACCCATGTTCTCATGTAAAACTGTTTCATAAAGCCAGGCCTCGGGGTGCCAGGCTAAAGTCACAGCTACCTGGGAGGCTGAGGGAGGAACATCTCAGGTTCAAGCCCTGCCTGGCCTACAGAGTGAGTTTAAGGTCCCCCCCCCGGGGGCCCCCCCCCCCCCCCGCCGGGCAACCGAGTGAGACTCTGCCTCAAGATAAAAAGGAGAAAATAGGTAGAAGTCCAGCTGGGGTAAACCCTGTTTACACACATGGCAGGCTCTAGGTTCAATGGCCTGTGCCATAAAAAACAAGCTAAACAAACACATGTATATACACGTACATATGCCACTAAATACATACATCATACAGGCTTCGCGTGCATACACACACACACAGCAAAACAAACCAAACACACAGGCATGTGGATGTATATCCACACATATCCACACACGTCACACATACATACTACACGCCATACACATACCACATACAGACACACCCTATATACATGCATACAGCATATATAGACACAGACCAAATAGACAAACATACATCACACATGCCATATAGACACATAGCACACACCTCCCCCCATACATACACATAGACCACACTCACATCACACACACACAAACAAAATCAAACCAACAGATCCTACCGTAACTCTCTAAGCACAAGCTTTAAGTCCGTCTGTTACTGCCCACCTCTTTGTACCTGCCTGGTCCCCACCCTCCGCTTGGCTCTTCTCCCATGTTCCCATCTGTGTTAACTTTGCTAGAATGCTATTCCATCCCTTGTTCCAATCTGGCACCCAGACTTTACTCCAACAGCTCCCCTACCCCATGGACTCTGTGTGTTTCCCCCTGAGGACCCCTGTGCCTGCACACAGACTTCACCTCCAGGTGACAGTTTGCTCCTGGGGTCAGGAGGCTCTTAAGGGAACAGACGATATTGTGTTGCTTCAGGTGTCAACGCAGCGAGATGAATCGGGAATCTCCTGAGTGTAGAATCGGGAATCTCCTGAGTGTAAAAAGTGCGTAGAGGAGGGTGTCAGTCTTTGGCTCTTCTGTCACCTCTTCTGACACAGAAGCTAATCTGTTTTCCATGTGGAATTGAAAGCACCAGCTGAGAAGGGTTGGACCTTGCTTTTGTCCTTTTGCCAAGTTGCTTGGCCAGGGAGAGGAATTCATATTTAGTAACCATCGACACTCCATCTCTCGGTCCTGTGATCAAGGGCCCTGCTCCCAAGGAATGGTTCTCTCCAGTTCCCCTTGCCCATGGCCACCAGCTGTCGGTCAAGAAGTAAGGACTCTGTGTCTGTCTGGGGTAATGGTGACAGGTGACATTGGGGAAGAAGTGAGGAGATGACATTGGGCCACAATACCTGGGTATCTGGAGCTGTTGTCTGCGGCCGGCAAATGTTCTCTGTCACTCATCCCAGTGTAGATGGGTCCCTCCTGTGGTTCCTGAGGTTCTTCAATACTTCTGTGTTGGTGTCCCCTTGATGGAATTATTCTAAGAAGATAATGCACATTATAGGTGCTTGTAAAATCTCTATGAGGCCAAGTGACCCTTCTTGGAGGCTTGCTGGCAGGGAGACACGGGAGCAGAACATGTAATGTGGAGAATCTCACTCATGCCAGGGTATAAGAGTCCCCAGGAGCAAGATGGCAAGCTGTAGTATCCAAGACTCTGCTGAGTGCTTCTGTGTTTCCTTTGCTGGAACCTCAAGAGGCAGAGCCAATTACATGACCTAATCTTGAGCCAGAAGAGAGACTTCCTTTCTGCCATGGGGGATAATAGGAAGCTACTTCTAAGAACTGAATTGCATCACCCAGTCCCCAGCTGATATTTTGAAGCCCTAACCCCCCATGTCAAGGTATTTGGTGCTGGGCCTTTGGGAGATGTTAGGATTGGATGAATTGAGGTGGGAAGGGCCCTTGATGCAGTTAGTGTCCTTATAAGAGGCACAAAGAGCTTGTGTCATCTGGGTGCTATGTGAGGTCACAAGACAAGGACGGCCCTGTCCCAACTAGGAAGGATACTCTCACCAGAACCTGGTTTTGCTGGATGTTAATCTTAGACTTTCAGCCTCCAGAATTGTGAGACATTGTCTGTTATTCGAGTTTCCAGTTCTGTGGCATTTTGTTATGGTTAGCCAACTTTCCATTGTCATACCCAACCAAGTACCTGAGATGATTGATTCATGATAAAGGTTTATTTTGACTGATACCTCCGAAGGTTCCAGTCTATGATTGATTGGCCTCCTTGATTGGGGGCTGTGGCGAGGTGCAGGGTTGGGGGTGGTGTGAATATGGGATAGGGCAGAACTGCTAAAGTTACAAGCCAGGGGACAAAGAGAAAAAGGGGACAAAGCCCAATGGTCCCTTTCCAGAGCATGCTTCCACTGCTTAAGGATTTCCAGTAGACCCCACTCCTGAAGAACCCGTTTCTTCTAATAATGTCATCCCAGGAACAAAGCCTCTAAAGGCACATGAACCTTTGGTGGAGACCTGCCTAAACCACAGTATGGATAGACTGGGCTGACCAAGACACATACCTACCTACAAGTCCCCTGTAGACGGATGCAGTGTCAGGCAGTGTGAAGGCATTGTGTGTGCATTAAACTGTGTGCATGAAACACCTCAGGATTTGTGTGCATGAAACTGAGAAAGCAGTGGGAGGAATGGGAGGGCTTTAACCTGCTCCTGAGAGCTGAAGCTGGTCAGGTAGGGAAGGGAGGAGGAGGGGGGAAGTCCCAGGCAGAGTGTACCATGCAGGCAGTACTGGCATTTGATCACTGCCAATTCTTAAGGTCTTGGTGAAAACATGAAACCTCAGAGCTTCCTTTACACGACGGATTAGGTTTCTGTGTGGTGCCCATGGCTTTGTTGACAGCACTGGGAAATGGAAACCCAGAGAGAATTCAATTCAAGGCTGCTTACGTCGAGTGGAAATGGAGCCCACTTTCTCCCTCTTCCAATACCATCATTACAGAATGCCTTCTTTCTTGTTGCTGTGAAACAGCATATTGAAGAATTGACTTGTGAAATCAAAAGCAAACTCCCCTCTGCAGAGGTTTTTGAGCCTGCTGGGTGGCAGGGACTTACTGAGGTGTCTGAGGCTAGTGAATAGGAAACCCTAGCTTCTTACACACACACACACACACACACACACACACACACACACACACACATTCTCTTCTTCCTCTTCTCTCCCCTCCTCTTCCTTCTTTCCACTTCCAGTGAACTTAGAGATTTTAGACACAAAACTGGAATGTTCATTCTGGTGCATTCTGGTGCATCAAACATTTATTATGCTTCTTGACTTTTCCCTCAGAGTGGCATATGTTCTAATTTGAAAATAACTTTAATGCAGATGTCCTTTTTTTTCAGGCCTGTCTTTGCCTCCCAAGTTCTGGTATTAAAGGTGTGTGCCATCACCACCAGACTCAGATCTACTTTCTTGTTTTGTTGTTGTTTTTATTTGTATGGTTTTTTTTTTTTTTTTTGAGACACAGTTTCTCTGTGTAGCCCTGGCTGTCCTAGAACTCACTGTGTAGACCAGGCTGGCCTCCAACTCAGAGACCTGCCAGCCTCTGCCTCCTGAGTGCTGGAATTAAAGATGTGTGCCACCACTGCCCAGCACCAGATATACTTACTTTTGGATCGAGTATAATTTAAGTTTCAGAATATTATGATGCTTGTTCGAGAATTTCAGTGCCTCTAGGGGAAAAAAAAGTCTTGTTCCCCGAGAGAGGGAGGAGGCAGTGTTCCCAGTTTGTCACTGTGGCTGTGAAATTAGCTGTCTAGTGTACTTATGCATAATCCATGTGTTTTCCTGAGCTTCTTGCCCTTCTTTCACTTGAGAGGGTCCCTGTCTTTCCTGGTGCCTTTGGGTGGATAAGTTAGTCAAGAGGCACCATGCTTTCATCTCTACAGAAAAGAGTGTTTAGGAAGAGAATGAGAAACTTTGGGCCAGGTCCTAGGCTCTGCATTTTACAGAAACGATACTAGATGCCATTCCCTGCAGGCAGGGGTCACACACAGAAGAGTTTTCTCTGTGCTTATGATAAAAGATGGGGGAAAGGTGTAGGAGGAGATCTGTAGTCATCTGGGGAAACTGAGGTCTTTCGCCTTTTAAAAGGGAAGTTCAGTGCCAGCTGGGCAGTACCTGCCTGTTAACTTGGTGTTCAGGAAGCTTAGGCAGGACAGTGATATATTTGAAGTTATCCTGGGCTACACAGTGCTACTTTGTCTCAAAGATGGAGTTTTCTTCAGCTTTGGGGATTTTTAAGTTAATAAAATACAAGGCATTTGCCGGGGTATTTACCACCTCCACCACACACCTTTGTAGCTAGCACATTTATTAAATAGAGCACGGAAGCAAAAAGGAACAAACACCTGGAAATCCACCAGAAAATATTTTCTTCCAATTTAATGGAAGAGGGCTGGGAAGAGGACATGTTTAAGATGGATGAACTATTCCTAGTCTCCTTTGAGGACCTTAAATTGGGAGTTGTACTGAACGCTGATACAGAAAGGAAGAGATCACTTTTTGGCAGGGGATTACTTTTAAAATCTTGAAGGTAATTCCTTTCTTGTAGAACAGTGTAGAACCCAAGTGCCCATGTGGTCCCTCAGCTGTTCTCTGTGTGAGCAGGTGGTTGCCGAGGCTCCTGGCAGCATGGGCCCAGGACTATGGACCTCACTCTCTACCTATCCGGCAGAGTTGACACTTGCTTTGTTCCTTGATCTAGGTAAAGTTTCTGGCAACCTCTCCAGGGAGCACTGGCTTTATGTCTTTCTTCTCAGAGGAATTTTCCTCTAGAGAATATTTTAATGTGTGGGACTATCAGTACCAACATTTCCCTTCTGACTCAGTACCAAAGATCCAAGGAGATTTTTCCTTCTTCCGACTACTCCTTACTGTCACTCCTCACTGTCACTCTTCACAGTCACCAGGTCCTTCTCTTTTGACATCAGAATATTGCACAACATCCACTATCCCCATAGGGTTTTCTCACCCTGCCAAGGCTCTCTCTACTTCCTCTTGGTTTTGAAAACATTCGCACTATTGCCTTGTGGCTCTCCCCAGCTCTGTAATTGCTGGCTTTCTTCAAAGCTAGCTATCCTAGAGATTCGGTGTCTGCCGCAAAGAACCCAGGAAACCCCTGGGCCATATTTCAAAAGGCTTTTCAGGAAATTCTGAGCATGTTTTGAAACTCCGCCTGATTCTATGGGATTACAGAGGTTTATAAACCGCATTCCACAAGTCTCCCTTGGTATTCTTGCATACTTGTGAAATGTCAGAGGGGCCGAGTCTCTATCCACATATTAAACATGGATGAAAACTCTAGGGGAGAGGAATTAAGATGTCCAATCTGGTTTCTCTTTGAAAATCTCCTAGGGCAATCTGACTATTAGTGTGGGTTTCCATTATCAATTGCAATAGGTCCCAAATACAACTGTAGTTTTTGTTGTTGTTTTGTTTTATAAAAAAAGTTTCATTATTTATTTGTTTTTAATGAAACAACAGAGAAGATTATTTGGTGTTTGATTGATACCAGACACAGCATTCCTGTGGGTTCAGCTGTTTGGCCCTCAGATTATCTACATTTCAAGGATAAATGACCTTGGGATGGAGTGAGAGAAATCATCTGTTAGGGTGTGTGAGTTTTTAATTGACAAACTTTCTAAGAACTGGGAGCCTTTGGGTAAGGCAGTCAAGCTCTTCCTTGCTGGTTGGCGTTCCCTGGTGCCATCTTGAACACAGCAGCTCTCATCCTTATCTGTGGTCTAAAGTAGATAAGGGAGAGAGGCAGACACCAGTGTATTGAGTAGTGACTTATGGAGGTTTTTTTTTCTTTCATTCTTTGAAGCCAAGTGATTTGGTATCTTCAAATCTCCTAGAAGAAAGCTTTGCAAAGGTTTTCAAGCAGTTATTCTTGGTTCATACAGTCAACAAACCCCTTCAGCAGGTTCCTTCCCCACCACACTGTACCCTACTTCTGGAGGCTTTCTGGAGACATTCAGAGCATTCAACCTGTGACATAGAAGCCACATGTCCCCCATAGACAAGGCATAACACGAAAGGTGACCAACAGGGTCGTGTCTTCAGGCTTGAGTGATGTATGGTGCCGTGCTGCCCTCTGGGTGGAAGAGCAGTCTTGAGGTCTTCACGTGTTGGCTTAGGTGAGCTTTTTGTTGTTGTTGTTGCTTACAGATTATGAGCACATGAGTCCAGAATTAGGTGGAGTACGTTTATGACTTGGGACAGCTAAAATACCCAAATTAATTTACATGCTAAAATTACCAAGACTAAGAAGCCCTGCATATTCTAATGAACACATTAACATAACACAGTGAGGTCAGTATTGAAGAAGAACTGGGTGGTTTGTAGTCTGTAGCCCTCCCTTGTTGACAGAGGTGCTCTGAGCCCTGCAGCCCTACTAGGATGGCTTGATTTTTCCACAACTTAGGTTTTCTCCTCCCAGTGGCTTTAGAGAGATTAAAAAAAATCATTATTGTTGCCCACGTGTGCATTTGTATATGCGCTCTGTGTTTGTGTGTGTGTGTGTAAGATGGTTCTCATCTCAGTGGGCACATGGTGATCAGAGGACACGACACATGACAGTTCTTCTCCTTTAACTTTGACACACATTTCAGCACTCAAGTGCTTGTCTGCCAGGCACCATTACTACTAAGCCATCTCACTGGCCCCGAAGTGATTGTTAAGCTACATATTACCAGGCCTAGCCTCCAAGTCTCTGACTCCCTAAGTCTGGAGCTGGTCCCAGGAATGTGCACTTTTAAGCGTTCAGGTGATGCTGATGTGGTGGAGTAAGGACAGCATTCTGGAAGGTGGAGCCCTGGGATGGTCAGGACTCTGTTACAGGAGCGTCACTCGCAGGCTAAGTCCGGTTTTCCCACTTCCTCATTAGATGGTGTGAATAATAAAGTTCTCACTATGCAAGAGTACCCACTTGTTCCAGAAGTGACGCACGGAAGACACAGACTTAACTTTGGCCACCCCTCCTCATTCAGCCCTGCAGGGTTCAGGCTGCCTCCAGGCTGCCGGTTGCGGTTTATCTTGGAGATGACTGTTTAGTGGCCTTCAGTAACTGTGGAAGAGGCCAGAGGTTTCCTGCCCATTAAGGCCTGTGTCTAAGGCCTCTCTGTAGATACAGACCTTACAGTTTGAGACTGCTTAGCTTTCTTTTCTGAAGACTCCCTCAAAGCCAAGGTGTTTGGCTCTACCTAAAACACATCAGAGACACAGCACTGCGCAGTGGGTTCTTACAGCAGGTCCCTACCCACCTCTCCTTTCCTCCCCTTCCAAGTGGCCTGACTCTGTTGCCTGCTCCCTTTGTTTTTGAGATCTACCACGAGTGCTTGCTGCCTCGACCTCCACACTGGTTCCTGTCGTTCACTCACAAACAATGACACCTTGCTGTATAAGTAACTTATTGGGTTGTGGAACTTTTCGTTCCTATCTATTCACACCCTGAGGAATGTGTTTCGCTGAACACACACCAAGAGTGAGTGCTCTGGCTGTGCATATGCCTTGTCTGTTCTTGGCTCTCGTTCCTTGGTTTTATGTAATTTCTCACATGGCCGTGTGCAGCCAACTGAAGATGTCTAAGCTCCTGTATGAAAACACTCACCTGAGAAGCTTTCCTGGTTTTAAAAGTCCGTTTTTCCTTAATTGAATGCTCGTGTGAAAAGCCGTGCAGTGCAGCATGCTTACTCTCCAAGCTCTCCTCTCATAGGGGTGGTGTTTGTTTGTGGGTTTGCCCATTCCCTGTTTCTCTTCAACTCACCATCCAAAATGGCAGTGTCCTTGCCTGGCTGACAGTACTCAGTGAGAGGCATCCAGCAAGAATCTGTGGAATGAATGAATGTGTGTCTGCCTCCCTGACTCCATTCTGAGTTCAGAGAGAGACCTGGGCCTCAGCTTACATTTGAAATTTGAGAGTGTTTTGTGCTGAGCTGAGGGCTCCAGTACCTGTCATTATATGGAATGCATAACTCTGGAGGCGCCTCTGTGGAATTAGGCCTCAAGGGTCTTAATTTCAATCAGTCTCACTGGCTCTGTTTTGACTGGAAATCCTGTTGCCTGTTTTTAAAAACACATCCTCCTCGGTGCCTTTGAACAGTGGAGACCTCTTGGCAGGCAGGCATTTCTTACCCATCAGGAAATCTCATCAACATGATAGTAGGTTTATAACATCCAGGATATAAAATCCTCCCAGAAGACTTTGCTGTCCTCTGGTTTGGCTTTGGATATAAGCAGTTAAGCCCACTCAACTACAGCCCAGATACTGGGCCAGGGCCTGGTGGTTGAGTCTCACAACAAATAATTAAAGGAGAAATAACACTGGGAAGGACTTTTGTCACTAAGTTTCCTAAGTTCAAGAGGTGGATAAAAGACTGGCTTTGAGTGTGGGGTTTTAGTCTCAAAGGACTGAGCGGTAAGCAGAAACCCTCATTAGCTCAGTACTGGTAGTTCTGACCCTGTGTCATTTCATCTGGCTCCTAAGTCCCACTTTGCACGTCGTATCTGGAAAGATTACAGGCTGGCTCTTGATGCTCCTCTAGGTGTATTGTATGTCCTTTCATCTGGAATTTCTTGGTGTTGACATCTTCCCATTACAACTTGAATGTCCCCAGCTCAAATGCTTAAGTCCAGAACTATTTTTGGCTCTGGAATCTTTGTATACATGTAGTGAACTATCTTGGTATGGGATCCATGTTGGTGTTTCACACATGTTATACACACAGCTCAAAGGTGAGTTTATGCCGTCCCTTTTGTGCACCTTTTGACTACAACCTGCCCCGTAAAGACTGAGGTGCAATTTTCTGCCTGTGACATCATTTTGGTGGTCAAGAGGTTTCAGAATTTGGGAGACTTTAGGTTGTCCAGCTAATTCTCCACTTGAATTCATAGACAAGAGAGTGTGTGGTTCATCCTCTGAAGGCAGCTCTTGCTGTGCTTGCTCATCTCTGGGCCCCTCAGTACAACTTCACAGCGTTCTCTCCCCAGCCTTTCCAGTGTCAGCACCTCAACTGTGACATGATGAGAGGGGTCTGGAAAGATGCCTTAGCCAGAGGCAGAGGACGGAAGCCAGCTCTGTCCCTGTGCTCCGTGCCTTCTACACCCGGGGCCTCTTCTGTTCTCACACTCTGATGTGTCTCTTTTCAGAGGCGTGAACATGTACGCCATGCTGACCGGGACCCTGCCTTTCACCGTGGAGCCTTTCAGCCTGAGGGCTCTGTACCAGAAGATGGTGGACAAAGAAATGAACCCCCTTCCGACCCAGCTCTCCACAGGTAACGTCTGCTGCTCTGGGTTGAGGATCTGTTGCCTGTGCTGGCATAGTCTGAACTCATTTTGGAAGTGCTGTTGGTTTGATCTGAGTTCCTTCCCTGTGTAGAAACAAGAGAGATCGCTGGGCTTCCCATCCCTCAGCAGCCTGACCACTCACTGCGCATGCACTCTTTCCCCCTTGTAATTTGAAAGCTCTAAGGCCCTCCTTCTGTCTTTGGTACAAAGCACATATATCAGGAGGGCCTTGTGTTCTTTGCTTGGGGAGTAGCTGCAGGCCCGGCTGTTTGAGAGCTCACAGTGTTACAGTGTTGCCTTGGAGAGGAGGGTTATAAGCATGCTTACTTTTCCATTAGTCAGTTTATTGTACAGAGATGTTAGTTTCAGATCATGCGTTTGATCTGTGATTTGTTTTATTATGTGAATTTTTGAAGTTTTCAGGTATAGGTAGGTTCGGTTACTTAAAAGCAATTGATCGTACACCTGTTTGAGACGTTCTCTCAAACTTCGGCAGCTTCAAATGGAGGTAAAAGCCTTGAGTGAAGACTGGTTTTGACTCTGTAAATGAATAGAATCTGATCTTTCCTTTAGTTCACAATCACATCAAGTTCCTGGCCTACACTCCACTCTGAGGGTCATTTAATTGTTCTGTTAGAATAAATCTAGGTTCACTGAAATGAGGCTTTTGACCAAGAAAGGATAATTATTTAATAATATAAAATCTTTCCTTTAGTTCACAATCACATCAAGTTCCTGGCCTACACTCCACTCTGAGGGATTATTCTGTTAGAATAAATCTAGGTTCACTGAAATGAGGCTTTTGACCAAGAAAGGATAATTATTTAATAATATAATATTTTAATTTTCTAATTTCTGATACATGGATAAAACAGAGAATTTTATTTTGCCACTGTTAAGTATTTTCCCCATGGGTTTATAAGCATCTGGGAAACTGACCCGAGATTTAGTCTTGCCAATGGATCCAACTTGAAATGAGTTCTTGGGCACAATTATCTAATCCAGTTATACTTTGACCTTGCAAGTGATGTCTAATCTCTGGGGGTTGAGAGCCAGGGGAGAGATTATGTCCTTGGGAAGAGAAGACACAGTACTGACTTTTAGAACAAATATTTCTGCAATGGGAATCCTACCTCATAGTTAGAAACTGCACAACATATTGAAGGGATCACCACATTGAGGCCTGAGGGCACTCAGGGTCGGGAAGTGCTGCAAAGCATTATGGGAAGTGTTCAGTTATCCGTCCATTTATTCATCATTTCATATCCATTCTCTCAGCCCATGACAACTAATCATGTGCTAGGTGTGTGCCCGAAAGAGATGGAATGAGCCACACACGGCCTTGGCTCCTAGAGAGTGCACACATCTACGGGAGAGGCAAATACATATATACACATACATACATACATACATACATACATACATACATACATATGTATTATCCCTCACATATATACATATGCACTTATACACACATACACACACACATACACACACAGGCACACACACACATACACATACACACAGGCACGCACACACATACACACACATTCACATACACACACACATACACACATAGGCACACACACATACACACACAGGCACACACACACATACACACATACACACACAGGCACACACACATACACACACACATACACACACACATACACACACAGGCACACACACATACACACACACATACACACATAGGCACACACACAGGCACACACACATACACACACAGGCACACACAGGCACACACACATACACACACAGGCACACACAGGCACACACAGGCACACACACACACACACACATGTCAGGTTGATGCTTTAAGTGAAGTAAGAAATAACAATTCAGATAAAAGCATAGAAAGTAAATTTTTTTTAAACAAATAAAATGTTTTCCAAACAAAACAGGTTTTTGTTGTGACCTTTTTTTTTTGATGCACACACAGCTTAAGACATGAATAGAGAAATCTATACATCCTTATAGATCCTTCACCCACTTTCCCACAACGGTAATATCTTTAATTACCGATGTAAATCTCCATTAGAAAATCGATAAAACCCACATGTCTGATGGCCTGTGTTTAGCACCATATGAATTTGTCACCATCACCTCCCTCTCTTCCCCTCTACGGACCTCAGTAGGCCACTACCCTTTCCCCATCGCTCTAGCACTTTTTGAAATGAAGGAATTATAGAGATGGACAAATGTACAGAATCTGTACAAATCCCTTGACTCACTGTAACTGTGTTAATTAAGATCCATTTTAGTTGCTGGATGGATCAGAACCTTGTCTCTTTTCACTGCTGAGTTGTATTCCCATGTATGGACATAGCACAGTTTTTTTTTTTTTTGTTGTTGTTGTTGTTTTTTGATTTTTGGTTTTTTTTTTTTAACCATTTACCCACTGAAGGACCACTGGATTGGTTCCAGTTTGGAATTACTGTGAATGAAGCTGCTCTGAACATTTATCTCCAGATGTTTGTATGAATGTGATTTCTGTAAGACCAAGAGCTAAGAACCAAATTACTGTGTCAATCCGTAAGTGCATGCAGCTCCACAAGAAGCGATCGCACTGTTGTTCAGAGTGGCTATACCATGTTGTGTTCTCCCTTGAATACTGTGAAAACATAGTTTGAAACATTGTCATCTCTCAGGGTGATTCTGACGCGTTTCTGACGGCTTAGAGCTTGCTTTGTTCTCAATGACCCATAACACAGGACACTAGGAAGATGTCTGGAAAGAGCAAGCAGGTGTTTCTGAGTGTTAGTGGGACTCCGAGAAGTTAGACAGTTGCTGCCTTAAGTCACAATAACAGCAGTCAGGCCCACTCCCAGGGACTTAGGACGATGAAGGCTTACTGCTTTTGTTTATATTAATTGAAAGTTGGATCAAGAATAGAAGAGTTCTGAGCCCACGTGGGATCTCAAACCCATTGCTGATCCGTGCAGGGAAGGTAGAGGGGTGAGGGTGGGGCTCTCCGCCCAGCAGTAAAAGCCATGCTTACCTTCTGGTGTGCAAGCATGGTACGTGACCTCAGTCATGTAATGGGAATGGGGTAGTGCAATCCCACTATAAGTACTGAAGGCTGAAAGGCAGAGAGACGTGTGAACAGCACTAGTGTGAACCACACACAGGCTGTAGGAGAAGCAAGCCATTGCAACAAGCCTGGTTCGTTCTCTTACGATGTTGTCGTTATATCCTGCAATACTAGTTTACAGTAACAGGAGAAGCTCCCCCCTCGTGGAACACAGACTGCAAGTGGTTTTCCATTACCGCCCTTTTACACAGTCAGGCACAGCGAATGGCATTGTTCCCAGTTAACCAGTGAGAAACTGAGTCTCAGAGTGAGGAAGTTGGTTTGACTGAGAACCCAGATTTTCCTCTGTGCTCTGTTATTTCTTTCCCTTATTGTTAAAAGACATGCACGCACATGCTCACACTCATGTGTGCAAAATGCCAACAGAAGCCAGAAGAGGGACTCTGACCCCCCCTAGGGCAGGAGTTAGTGGGTAGTTGTGAGCCACCCAACATGGCTGCCTGGAACTGAACTCAGGTCTTCTGCAAGCGTAGCACTCTCTCTTAACTGCTGAGCTGACTCTCCAGCCCCCTTCCCTTATTCAACACACAGCCTATCCCCCATACAGCCCCTGAATGTGCAAGCTTATCTCTTGTCTTCAGGTCTTGTCTTTTGAGTGATGTCATTGCCAGTTGAAAACGCACCAATGTTGCTCTCCCTCAGGAATCTCCATCTTCATTAATCCGATACTCTGTCAGTCCTCTTTGCCGTGATTGCACCAATTAAACCTTATTATTATCCCATTTAGATTAAATTCAAAGTTTCCTTTTATTTTAGCAGAATTCAGTTGGAAACAAATTTCAGCACTCCTGTCCTTGTGAGCCTATGACATGTGCAGAAAGTCACCCCCCCTGTCCCCATCACTTAGCCGGAAACCTTCAGCTTTGGGGGCCTTTCCAATGCTCCTCTAGTTGGTTTCTGCTTTCTGCAAGTTGGCTCTTGCATATCACAGAGCTAGCGAATGCTTTTTGCGGCTGAGAGATTTTTTTCCAACAGTTTACTCTTTCATCACAGGCGCCATAGCAATAGCATTTATAATACATTCCAAACAGACACTTCCAGTTAAGAGGATTCTGTCCCACAGATCCTCCAGAGAGAAGCTGAAGACACACTGGCATTGCTGAAGGTAGGGCCTGGTTAAGATTTCCAAGAAGGCTTAACCATCCATTGCCAAGGGATTCTTAGCTCAGAGGAGATGAGCGAGCAGCCTCCCACTGGGACAGGCCTCTGCTTGCATCTGGCCTGCTGCTTTAATGTCAGGTGGCTTTGTCTGTTGCCTGCAGCCCCTGCTTTTGGCAGTGTCCAGTGCTCACATAAGGCTAGTTCAGACTTGAGAAGTCTGACTGCTCCTGAAAGAAAGGACGTTGGCACCACAGCAGTGCCTACTTCCTGTTATGTGCAGGTGAAAGAGCCCTCATTCAGCTAACTTCAACCTTCTCAGCTGGAATAGAGAGCCAAGAGTCAGCCTGAAGGAGCTGTGACTTGTGATCATGCTAGATTCCACTTCCTGGGATGATATAGTCCCTCTTGGCCCAGAGACACACGGATATGTTCAAGATCCAAGGACAAGCTTCATAGCTCTCTGAGATGTTCACAGAGTCTTTTCAGGACAGTGACGTGATGTTTGGGACGTCCGGAGGTACACGACTCGTCAGCAGAGACTTGAACTAAGATTACTTGTATTCATCAGCAGTTTGTGGAGATTTAGAGCACTTGGTGGTGAAAATAGAACAGAAGTACACATCTGGCATCCCTAGCTCTTCTGATAATCATTCTTCAAAGAAGCCTGGCCCTGGGTGCGAAGGGATGTCCGTCTTTTACGTCTCTATCCCCAGTTCAGTTCATCAAACCCACCCCTTTGTCCTTGAACAATAGATGCCCCTGTTTGAAATCCACATGGTGGGTTGAGAAGACAGCTCAGTGAGTAAGAGGGCTTGCTGTTCAAACAGGAGGACCTGAGTTCAAATCCCTGGCACCTGCATTAAAAAGTCTCACATAGTTGTGTATGGCCTGTAACCCCATTGTTGTGGAGGGCAGAGACAGGATTTGCTGGTTCTTATTGGCCTCTAAGTTCAGAAAAGAGACCCTGTCATGGAGGATGATAGAACAGGGCACTGGACATCATCCTCTGGCTTCTGTGTTTGAGCTCATGTGGATGCACACTCCAAACAATAAAACAAAACAAAACCAAAAAACACTCAAGTGACTCTAACAGTATAGGGGCACAGGGGGAGGGAAATATTTGTTCAGAATCAGGAATCCTCTTTTTATTGGGGAGATGTTAGGAAAGTTTTATTTGGAGACTTAGCAGTAAAACTGTTCATGTTGAGGCTGGAGAGATAGCTCAGCAGTTAGGAGCATTTGCTGTTCTTTGTAGGACCCAGGTTCAGTTCCCAGCACACACATGGTGGGTAACCAGCCACCTGTAACTCCAGTTACAGAGGACACCCTCTTCTGGGCTCTGTGGGCACTGCATGTGTATCATGCAATTATATGTATACAGGCAAAACCACTCATAAAATAAAAATAAATGAATCTTTTAAAAAAAGTCTGACAGTGTTAAATGTACCCCATGGCTATTATAGCATCCACACATTCGTTCTGTCTCTCTGTGTTCTTGAAGAAGAAGGCTGTGCACTGGAACTCTCCTTGCATGAGTTACCTCATGGATATGACCTGGCAAAGGGCTATTACTCTGGAGCTGATCCTGGTCTCATAATTGGCCCCTCTTTTGATGGCTTCATTTCCGCCATAGAAACAGGGCTCACAGAAGGGCCATCATTCTTTTAAGTGCAGTATAAACCTACAACTGAACGCAGACGAGAAAGTATGAATTTTCATGACCGCTCCTGGCTAAGCGAGGTTCTATTTAAAAAAAAACTGGCAAAGAGCCCCTGACAAAAAGACGGAACAACTTGGAGTCAAAACAAATGGAGATTATTGTCTGGGACTTACTATTTGATCTGATAAAAACCGGATATATAGAAAGCTAAATGAAAGAGTTATTTGGTGGGGCCCTAGGAGGATGGGATGGCTGAGTTGGTAGAGCACTTGACCTGTAAACACTAGGTCCTGAGTTTGGTTCCCCAAATCCCCCATATGAGCACTGGTGTGGCGAACACCATGACTTCTGCTTGTAATCCCAGCACTAGAAAGGGAGCGACAGAATGATCCCTGGGGCTAATGGGCCAGCCAGTCTAGCCTAGTTGTTGAGCTCTAGGCCAGGGAGAAACCTTAATCAAAAAAATGAATGGTATTCTTTTTTGTTTTTTTCCTTTCTCGTTTTTAATTAGTTCCTAGAGAATTTCATGCAATGTATATATTAAACTAACCCCATTCCTGGCTTCTCCCCAAATCCATACCCCCCTTCAGATGGCACTTTTGGTGATCCTCCAGCCTCACATACATGCACACACATATGTACACACACCTGCATGCACGTGTGCACTTGTATAGACATGAACATGCTTACATATATAAAAAAGGAAAAAATAGTATTTTCTGTATCTGAGAGGGAGTCAGATGTATCTTACATATCCTACTCTTGGGGCTGGCCTTGAACTTGCTAGGTAGCGGAGGATGACCTCGAACTCCTGACTCATCTGCCTCTACCTCCCAAGCGCTGGGATCCTGGGCATGTGCCTTCACACCTGGCTTTTCTGCTGTTAGGGATCTAAGCTAGGACTTCACTCAAGCTAGGCAAACACTCTGCCAAATGAGCTATATGCTCAGCCCCTTGCAAGGCAGTATGCTAAGATGCAATAGAATAGGAAACTGTAGTCTCAGAACTCAGGAGAACCAGGCCTCTGTGTGTGGACTCTTAGTCTGGGTGTGCACTCACACTGAGTACTCCTGTACCTATGACCTTCCAGAATACAGTTATGCATGTTATACAGTTGTCTCTCCTGTTATAATCATAAAGGATACAGCTTCCTGTCTCTACTGCTTAGGTAGATCGGAGGTGTTCTGTAAATGCCTGTTTTATGAAAGGAGAGCCAGGGTACAAATTGCTTAGTAGGGACTGAAGTGAGAGAGGTAAGAGAGGTGGTGAGGATTTGGTAGTTTGGCCAATGGTTTCTCACTTCCTTTCTTACTCTCCGGTTCAACGTGGCTGACGTCACTATACCAGGTCTCTGGGCTAAAACTAAGAGTAATACCATTGGCATACATTCTGTCCAGACATCCCCTTCCCTTTAATGGACAGCATCAGACAGGCATGTGTTTGTAATGAAGTACTTGCTGGAACTTTATGACAAACTAGGATTGGAAGATACATGTTACAGTTGACCTAACACTTAAACAAAAGCACACGGATTTCTGGTGCCATGTCAGCTTAGTTAGCTAGCTAGCATGGGTTTGGGCTAGTCTGACTTACATTATAATTTCACAGAGTCTGGGGGAAGTGTGAGTGGCATAGAGAATTGCTTTGAAAGAAAGGAGCCTTGGAGAGGCACGCGTGTGATCCTGGCTACTCAGAAGTCTAAGGTGGGGAAGATAGAAGTTTGAAGTCTGCCTGGGCTACAGAGCCAGTTCAAGACTAGCCTAGGCTACAGAGCGAGTTCAAGGCTAGCCTGGGCTACAGATCGAATTCTAGGGTAGCCTGAACTACTTTGTGAAAGCCTATCTCAAAATAAAAAGTAAAATAGGGCTAAAGCTATGTATGATGCTATATGCTTAATCCCTAGTACATTCAACAAATCAATCAATTAACAGTCAGAAAGCACCTCATTGAATTTATGAGACGTGGTGCTTCACGGTAAGGATCAAAGTCAAGTGTCTCATTCAAATTCATCCATCTTTTTTCCCTTTTGATTGCTCAGTTACCACCATGATACTGAGAATTTTTTTCAGTTTCTACGCTTTCAACCTCCACATGTAATAGTAGTACATCTCTGTGTTTGATCTCTGAGTGACTACAAGAGCACACAGATTATTCCAGAAATGCCTGGCCCAGGAAGAGCAAACTGCTTGTCGTTGTCTTGGGTACCAGGTGTGCTCTTTAGGCCCGCCTCTTAAGCTCTTTGGATACACAGCAGCTCTTTAAAGGATAAATGTGGGGAGAAATGCAATTTAGAACTCCAGGTGTCTGAAGGTGGGGCTGAACTCACATTTTGTGAGTTGTGGAACAGAAACCCTGCCAGAGACCCCAAGAGCAGAGTCTCTGAGGGGCTGAGGAGGCAGAAGACCTCAGGCTGCAGCTTCAGTGTCTGCACCTATGTTCAGTCTCTAAGGCGTGTTCTTTGTGGACTGTCTCCCAGGGGCCATCAACTTTCTGCGCTCTCTCCTGGAACCTGACCCTGCAAAGAGACCAAATATCCAGCAAGCGCTGGCAAATCGCTGGCTGAATGAGAATTACACTGGGAAAGTGCCCTGCAACATCACCTATCCCAACAGGTAAAGTAGCGCGGATGGAGGAATATCTCAGTGAGGTGGGGCCCACTGTGAGCCCTCCAAGCTTGGGACAGGAAGCCTTGCATGACTGAAGTCAAGGCCGTTTACACCCTGCCCCCTTTGCCTGACTGTGCCCACCTCTGCAACCTCTTACCCACAGACAGGCCCATCTTGTTGGGCGGGAAGATGCAACCAGGGCTGTCCTATGTTTTTGTGCCAAATTGGTCCTGGTTAGAGGCTTGGAAGCTGAGCTGCAGGAGATCCCTCACCAAGCCTCACTCTGATGGATTGCACCTTCCCTAACTTCTCTCTAGTTCACTTAAAGGGTTCATTTAAACGAACTGTGGCATGTGTGACTGTGTGTGTGTGTGTGTGTGTGTGTGTGTGTGTGAGAGAGAGAGAGAGAGAGAGAGAGAGAGAGAGAGAGAGAGAGAGAGAAAGAGGGAGGGTTGAGGAGGGAGTGGGTGGGTGGAGCGATCTACCAGTGAGCTCTCCTGCCAGCATTAAGCCTCTCAAATCTCATGGAACTGAGTCTTTCAAATCCCCTTCAGACCTGCTTCCTCCTGCTTGACTCGTGTGTCTCTCAGCCCCTGGCTTAAAGTAACAGGAATGGGAGCAAGGAAGGTCAGATCATCACTTCAGCTGCCATATTGTGGGCTTGCTGTCCACGAGAGAGGGTTACAGGTGGGTGTGCACTGAGAGAGAAACCACCCGGCCTGTCTCTGCAGACTACAGATCGGAAAACTTACAGAAACATTTCCTTGTTCTTTTTGACTCATTGGTCATTCTTTGAGCCACTCTGATTGAGGGAGGGATAAGGACCCTCCCTTTGGTTACTTCAAGCACATATGGAGACCACCTGACTCCAACCTTCTGGGCTAGCTCTCCTCTTCCTTCTTCTGTTAACCCTTGAGAGCTTAACACGTTCAATCAAGCTTGGATGAGGACCAGAGACTCACAGAAAAGAAGGGAAGGGGCATCCTCTGTGGCCATATTTTTTAAAATTCCCAAGTCTTGGGCCAAGAAAGTCTAGAACTATCCACTAAGCCTTATGAGAACTTAAAGGCTGAGTCTCTAAACAAGATGTTCAACAGGGCCCTTACTTGGGTGGGCGTTGGTAGGATCCGAATCTAGGACACTTGACCACATTTACCCTTACCCTGAGCATAGAGGAGGTGAGTTTATCTAGTCGCCATGAAGAATTCTAGCATTTGGCTCATGGGTAGTAATTTAGACAAAGTCTAGGTTACCTAAGTTGTCACAGGAACCTGGAAATAGACACCTTTTTCCAATACCTGCTCAATTTGGGCCAGGAACTGAAATAGACACCAGAAGAATTATCCCCCCACCCCACCCCTCGAGTCTGCAAACAGAGCGGAAGGGCAAGGTCTTATCTGTGGAACGACACGAAGGCTGCTTCTGGTAAGAAGTGGGTAGCATTGCTGGTAACCAAAGGGGCCATTAACTGAATGTCTAAGTGAGCATAACCCATCCACCCAACACTGAACCTGCCGAAGGCTGTGGAGCTGGCCCTAGGCACACAAAGAACCCTTCTTGTGGTTAGCCACCTCTTCAGTGATGAAGACTTACAGTATGGCTTATAGTTTTGTAGTTTCTCCTCAGGGGGTGAAAGGCAGGCTTTGGTGAGGTAAACATTAATTCAGTTTCTTACACTTTTTTACCCATCTTGGGCAGTGTGTATGTGTGTGTGTGTGTGTGTGTGTGTGTGTGTGTGTATGTGTGTGTGTGTGTGTGAGAGAGAGAGAGAGAGAGAGACAGACAGACAGACAGATAGAGAGACAGAGACAGAGAGAGTTGTGTATGTGTGTTTGAGGATGTGTGTGTATGTGTGTGTGAATTTGTGTGTCAATGTGAGTGTGTGTGAGTGTGAGGTATACATGTGTATGAGGGCATATGTGTGTGTGTTCTGGTGCCTATGTTTGTGTGTATTGTGTGCGTTCGAGGGCATGTGTGTGAATCTAAATGTGTCAGTGTGACTGTGTGTGTGATGGGGGTGTGTTTGTGTAAACAACTAGCTAATACATGGTAAAAGTGGTAGAGGGCTTGTCTACAGGAAATAGCAGCTCCGTGTCTTCTGTTATCAAAGGTTATTGGATAAAGAAGATAAATCTGTTTTGATAGACAGGAGAGCAGAATTCTAAAATATTGGGGGAGGTGTATGTTATTTACAGTTTTATTTTGAAAAATTGTTAATCTTCAAGGCAAAAATAATATATATATTCCCAGTAATTGTTTTTCTGGCTTTACCCACCCTTTTTTTTTTTTCTAGTTTCCCGACACTGCTATCTCCTGGTTTAATTAGTCTGGATATTGTCAGTGCTACTTTCCCTTTGGGAAAGTCGAGTTTTACGCTGCTCTTCCGTACCGCTTTCTCCTATGAACTCATTTGCTTTTAAAGGTGCACACTGAAGTGTTATGACATAGCACAGTGGCTATAATGTAAAACATTTTAGCAACAACAATAGCAACCCCAAATGCAGCAAGCATGGCAAAGTACACCCAGGCGATGGTCACATGTGCTGATCACAGTCATCTCTCTGTATCTGTGCGGCTATTCTCATGATCTCCCCGAAAAAGAAGATATTCAAAATCTGCAGATGCCACAGGTGTGGTGGCACAGACCTCTAGTCCCAGCACTTGGGAGGCAGAGGCAGGTGGATCTCTGTGAGTCTAAGGCCAGCCTGGTCTACATGGTGAGTTCTAGGATAGCCAGGGCTACATGGTGAACTGCTTTCAGCCCCTCCATCACCCAAATCTACAGACACTCAAGTCTTATAAATATATGTATATATAGTCTGTATCTTTGGCTGTACGTTTCTTTGACTTTTATTTAAGGGAAAGTAAAGCCAGAGAAACAATTACCAGGAAAATATATATATATAAATATAAAATCTGTGTGTAATTTGTACATAAGCCACGCACACTCTTTCATATACTTTGAATTACCTCTAGTTGATTTAAAATAGTTGTTATGCTACATTACTTAGGGAATAATGACAACAAAAAAGCCCTTAAAGTCTTTATGCTCAGTACGCATGTAATTTTTTTTTCCTGAAATGTCCTGTCTAAGATTAATTGAGTCCTATGGATGGGGAACACACAGATTATATAGTAAACCCACGACTATTCTATATATGTGAAAAATTTCAAAATAAAAAGTCACGGGCATTGGAGACGTAGCTCAGTTGAGACAGTGCCTGCCCAGTGTGAACAAAACCCTGGATTCCATCTGTCCACGCCACATGAAGCAAGCATGGTGGTGTGCACCTCCAGTCCCAATATTCAGGAGGTAAACGGGAGAGTCTGGTATTCAAGGTCATTCTCTCAGCTGTTCAGAGAGTATGAGCTATCCTGGGCTGCATGAGGAGAGAGAGAGAGAGAGACAGAGAGAGAGACAGAGAGAGACAGAGAGAGAGACAGAGAGAGAGACAGAGAGAGACAGAGAGAGAGACAGACAGAGAGAGACAGAGAGGAGAGACTGGGGAATTCAGTTGTCCCTGGGGCCCTGTGTGGACCCTTCTGTCTGCCACGTTTGTGAGTCACTCTGAGAATGTAGAGAATTGACTTGTTCCCTGTGTCCCTGCGTCCACCCCTCATAGGATTTCTCTGGAAGACCTGAGCCCCAGCGTGGTGCTGCATATGACTGAAAAGCTGGGCTATAAGAACAGTGATGTCATCAACACGGTGCTCTCTAACCGTGCCTGCCACATCCTGGCCATCTACTTCCTGTTGAACAAGAAACTTGAGCGCTATTTGTCAGGGGTAAGTGGGACCTTAGAGGAGCATCTTCTGTCTAGCGTTGCAAAGCTGCCAACACTTGATCCGTGCTGTTATTTTAGCCTAAAATGTGAGGCCCTGTCTCTTGAATGTAGGATAAAGGACTGGCAAAACCCGTTTCTTAGATGCTGCTGCTGGTCTGAGGCGTGTTCCAAATGTTCTCCAATAAAAGTTAGCCCTGGCTGACCCTTGAGGGGCTTAGCTCTATTTGTCTTCTGCTCTCAGCTGTCTGCCCATATTTTGTCACCTCTTAGCTCTTTGGGTTCTTGACTTTAGAGGAACTGGAGTCTTCACTGATAGTAAAAGTTGGGCAGCCGTGCCTGGATGTATAAAGGATGGGGTACGAGAAAGCTTTTCACTAGTCAGCCCTCTGTCTCGATGGTTTGTGTCTGCAGGATTCAACCAACCATGGCTCAGAAATACTTAGGAGAATATTGTATCAGTGTTGCACATGTGCACTTTTCTCCTGTCATTCCCTAAATAATAGTTACACAGCATTTGTGTTGTATTAGGTGCTGTAAATAAGTCAGAGATTTAAAGTGTCCAGGAGAGGAACACAGTTTATATGCAAATATTGTACGGTTTCCTGTAAAACGTAACACAAATTGGGATTTGTAGGAGGTCCCGGAACCTTAGGGTGCCAAGACCCCCCCCCCAAAAAAAAAAGTGTTTAGGTTTATGACTGCAGAAAATAAGAACACAACAGGGTTTGCTAGGTTGACTCTGGCAGCTTCACACAGGCTAGATGTTAAAAAGCCCTCGTGACAGGGGCTTAAGAGTTAAGAGCTGGCTTAATAGTTAAGAGCACTGGTTGTTCTTGTTGAGGACCTGTGTTTGATTCCCAGTGCCCACAAGGTTGTTCACAACCATCTGTAACTCCAGTCTCAGGGAATCTAATGCCTTCTTCTTCTGCCACTCTCGTAGTAGTATACATACATGTAGGCAAAACACTCATGCACATAAAATGAAGTTTTAAAACAATCTAAAGAAAGTCCACATGCATGGTGCCACACATGAAGTGCAGTTTGGACAGCAGTAGTGCTTTGATATTACGGCACCTTTATCATCTTGGCCACAGTAGCTCATATGTCAGTCTCTCCATGTAAACAGTCCCTCAAGGAGACTGCTGTAAGACAACATATAGATTCTATACAATACTCTTCTGCACCGGTGCGCAAGTGAAGGTACAGTATAGACCAGCTCCAACAGAGTCGGAGAAACTCAGGATTGACAGAAGCCCATCTGAGGTTTGATTGGACACTGTCTTAAAGATGACCTTGACCCTGCAAATATTGTACCTTGAGGTCTGGTGGCATGTCTGTGCCTCGATTAGGAGGACAGAACAGAGATGGTAAGATCAAACTTCTAGAGATAGTTCGGTGCTGTTTAAAGTCATACGAATTCTGCCACCCAGTCACAGAATTCTGCCACCCAGTAGGGTGGGAAACATTTTATAGTTTCTAAGAGCAAAAGATGAAAATCCACCTGTAGCTAGTGAAATGACCATCCCCCTGACAGGGCAGAAATGACAAAATAATATCCACAGGACATGATGGTCCCAGTGAAGCTCCTGTTAGCAGAGAGGCTGAGGCGCACTTAGATAACATGGCTTCCTGTGTGGAGGAGCTTGACTGGAGGTCAGCCAAACATCTGGATGGCAGTCCAGGTGTTCCTAAGCTGACTCAGCTTATAATTTGCTTCCAGGAAAATTTACCCAGAGCTTTCTTGGTGCGCGCGTGTGCACGCGCACGTGTCTGTGTGTGTGTGTTTGTGTGTATGTGACCAAAGGAAAGACATATGTGAGGAGAAACACCAAAAAGCTTTCCCAAACAAGAACAATGAACATGAAGAGATAAATGCTTTGTACTTCTGATGGGACCCATCTTGAGCTTTGAGGCTTTGAGACAGTACTTATGTGACGGCCATCAGTCATAGGAAAATGACACCAGGTGACATGTTATCCTATTCTGGAACTGTGATAAACCACTTTGAAAACAACTCAGGGAGGAGAAGATTTGTTTGGTTTCTATTTCCAAGTCATGGTCCATCATCCAGGGCAGTCAGGGTAAGAGCATCATCCAGGGCAGTCAGG